TGTTTCTAGGAAACTATCCAACGATGAATCGATTGAAGAAATGACAATCTCTGCGACGAAAAAATGCTGAGATGCTTCATAGGCAAAATTTCATTTTTTGGCCCCTCCCCCTGTACGTCCATATTCGACCGATTGAGGGGGCGGTCCCATGGACTCTCTAGCGCTGCGGCGCAACTGCGCTGCAATGGAACGTTGCCGTTCCATAGCGAAATTTCGATCAATCGAAATTTATCAGCTGCTTTGAGCTGAATTCTACTAAATTTCGTATAATGTATGCCTTTGCAGCTTTTTTTCAGGTAGTAAGCTTTAAATATGGGCGCATGAGGGGCTAACATAGTGCGGGCATATCAGCAGAATCACCCTAAGCTGTGCGCGACCGAGAGATGAGTCAAGTATCGCTTATTTCTTCCTTGCAGTACGGGGAGAAGAAGTGGAGAGGAAGGGAGCGAATCTCAGCATGAGTGGTCCGTGTCAACAGAAAAAAGTGCAAAAAATTGCTAGGATTTGTGATATGTGTGTGTTATCCATTTGAATCAAAGGTCCTCCTGGTTAGCGTTTCATCGAAATTCTTATCTTCAACGTTAGAGACCCTGGTCACAAAAGAGAAGCTCCTCAACTCCATCCTCACCAAGGAATTCTTTCGCGTGCCTAGTGTGTACTGTGGGCGAACTGTCTTGGCTGGCAGACCCGTGGATAACAGACAACCAAATACAGTTGGAAAACTTGCGTGGATACTCACCACGGTTGCTACAGGGTGGGGCAACACGAGATGGAAGGCATGTGACAAACAAACTGTGACAAAGCACACTTTCTCTTTGGAAAATCTTCCGCCGTCATCCGACTCGATTTGGTGAGCCATCCTCTAGAATCTGTGCTTTCCTTGGATGATGCAGCCATATCCCTATCGTACTTCTAACAATGACTTGCTGGTCATTTGGAGTTACTAAGAGTAGCACTTCGAAACTTGTCGGTAGCTGACAGAATTGTGGGGATTTTTCGACTTAGGCGGCTCTGAAAAGACAAGAATATTGGAAAAGAGAACGAGCGTCTCAGCTCGAATCCGGGAAAGGTCACTGTAAATAATAATGAACGACATATCTGTTCGCGTAATCTCAATACGCTTGATTCCTTCGTCAGAAGAGTTCTCCATGTAGGTGTAAAGCCTCACCGAGACCCGACTCCTTGGAGAAATATGCAGTAGGCATGGAGTAAGTTGGGCGCCGGCCACCTACTCGCCACCATCGACGTGTATTCTTCCCCACCTTCTTTGAGCCTGCGTCCGAGGAGACTGATTCGGAAGAAAAGTAGTGCTTCTTATTAATTTTTTCGGTAGAATAACCGCAAGTAGCTCTTCCTCCGCTCGAGCTCGAGTCCTGTTTTGTTTGTCATTTAATTGGCCGTCGTGATTTTCCTCAACCCTGGATGTGTACACGTTCATAAGTGCATTTCGGTGATGTCATCAGACCACTTGGTCCTTTCTCGATTTCATAATTCCATGATTACGTTTACAGCCACATCTCTTTGTGAAACATTTCGCTCCCGCTGGGAAATGAACAAAATCATGGCCGGTGAAATGAAGTTCGCGATATGGTAGCCGCTCCTAGTGCATGCCACGAACATTCAGCAATTTCGTTTGTTTATCCCGCTTCTTTCGTAACTCGAACTTACAACAAATGAATTCTAGATTGCCATTGCCATTCGGGAAGAATACACCTAGATATGCACTCAAGCGCTGACTCCAAACCTACCCACAAAAACCAGGTAGTCGATCCGTGAACGGAGTTAGGAAGCAAAAGAGCACAATGGTAGTGGTCGGAGCACACAGTTAGGACTTTGTGGGCTTGAACCTCTACCCCTTGCTTTTCTCGGAAACACACCTCAAAAGTCATTTGATAGGCAACTGAGCTCTTTTGCGGAAAGAAGCAAATCAGTCAAAGCTAGGGGTTAGATAGTGTGTGTGCAGCGTGGAAGTTGAAGCACCAATGGAAGTAGCAAGGGCTGGAAGACAAAGGGGTAAAATAAGGCTCGTTCGCGGCCTAAGGTGCGCTAGGTTCAGCGCACTAAGCTTGCCAATCCTTTTCGAGCTCCTTCTCCTGTGCCCCTCCCATTAGTGTGTTGCTAGCAAAATTACCTTGAGGTTACCATTTTGAAACACGATTTCACTTTGAACGGCGAATCCTAACTATCCTGGGAGATGTGTTAAATCAAAGCACGGTGTTTGTTCTCAGAAGGGTGGCTACCGATTTAGGATTGTAAACGACACCTCAGTTGACTCCTTCATTATCGATAGTCAAAGGGCGAAAAGGGGGTCTATTTTGTCTGTTTTCTACGAGATTCCTTCTTTGTTCGCCAGTGGGACATTCTTCAGGATACCCGCTTTCGCTATGAACACAACCCAAATTATCGTAATCCCTCGCTCTGATATAGGAGACCAGTCCAAAGTCGACGAGACTGTGGGCCCTGACGACTACCGTTGCGCTATTTCGCTTCGGGGAATCGTTTAACAAAATTGGCATGTAGATTCGAGATCAGCCTTTGAAGGCACATCTTGCGTATACATCTCTCATTGAATGGCCTTGGCTACCTGGGGGGATCCATTCCTTGTTGCAAGAATCGTTCACCAAACCTTTCCCAGCCTTAATACTTCAGTATGATCACTAGAGAGAATGTACAAAGTCTCACGCAAGAATATGCACTTTCCGAAGAGAAACTAACTTCCAAAAACCGCATTCTATGGACGGTCTAGGGTAGGTCGGGAGGGGAGGGGGTCAAGAAAAGGCAATGAACGAAATGTGCCTCAAGGCGTACACGTATTGAGGATGCATCGAAAAGATCGGGTTGATGTTTGAATTCAGAGAATAGATCCAAAACCATGGACAGGAAGAGCTGTAAATATGATAAAGAGCGCTATCTGTTATCACTGCGAGTTCACCAGTGATAACATGTAATAAGGCGATAACAGCACTCTCAAAGACGGTTGAACTGGAAGGCCACCGTATCAACCTTTATCATAAATCTAATCATATCTTATCTAAATATGGCAGCAAGAGGGTCGTTAGAGTCTCACTTCTCTGGGCCGACGGCTTCGTAGCTGCCGCCTCTGCCCACTTTCTCGCACCGACAGGACAGCTAAGCCGTGCGCAGGATTCCGTCAGTGACCAAGGTGATCACCCACGTGTTCAATAGTTATATCTTCCTTGTTTCCAGACCGTATGGTAGTTGTGGCAAATTGTTGTTTTCTTTTGTGTTGTCTTGTTTAGTGGATAAACTTTGTTTGTGGTACTTGCAGCATCATAATATAGAAAGTGTAAGCGCACTTAGCTCGCAGCAACCTTACTCATCGTCAGCAGAAAAGAAAAATGTTATTATCGTAGGTGAGAAGCTTAAGAAGAGTTTCTAGTGATAGCACTCCGAGAACCAAGTAGAAGCGCTTCCGCCGGATTACGTGACTACTTGAACTCTCCCCTATGTTCTCTGCCGCGAAAGGCCAGAGCGCAGACGATCAGAGAACGGCGCCTGGCTCGGCTCCAAATCCCAAGGAAGGAAGGTGAGAGTTTTAGGACTAAGCCTTGGATAGAGGAGGGACTCCGGAATAGGTGAGAAACAAACGCCAAGGGGAACAAGACGCCGAGAAAAACATGGATTTCCCGTGCATCCAGGGTCCGTACCCTTCCGGCCGAGGCTTAGTCCCCATTACATTGTTTCATCATTATCCCTTACGCGTCACATTCTTCGCTAGTGGCCCTTGAGATTCTTTTCGCTTTTCCCTTGCATTCAGCAGTTTCCGCGCCCACTACGTCCACACACTGAAGCTCGGGGGTGGACGCGGAGTCTCGGGCACGCGCGAACAGTTTCCGCCTTCAAAAAAACTCCTGCTCTCTTTAAGGCTTAGTTCTAATGGGGAAGCGAATAACACACTCCCTCAAGCCCTTGGGAGCGTGAGGGTTCACAGGTGAGTGCAATGGAAGTCAACCAATCGAAGCTGATGTTAACGCTGGCGCCAGATGGCGCCACCTTGTTCTGACAGCTGTTCTCACCAAATTCGATGTAAAATTGTATACAGAGCTTAATTGGTGTCCTAATTACGAATATGATACTTATTTTCTGCGCTGGCTCCATTTAGCAACTATTAAGGTAATGTCTATAGAGGTAATTTGATGCCTTGAGACGATTGCAACATCCGTTGGTAACGTTTGCGCTATTCTGCGCCAGATAGCGCCTGAAATGATTATTTGGGGCCCTGATTACGAATGTATGACATCTGTTTTTATCGTTGCGCTATTCGGCGCCTATTTCCTGCTCGTCTGCGCCCTCGCACTAATTAGATCGCAATCAGGACTAAGCCTTTGAA